TACTCAAAATTTCTCCAATGATTCATATTCTGTCTGTCAGCATATAAAATTATCAATAGTGTTTTAGATCAAGCTACTGCACTAAAGCACGTATACTATATAACATCCTTTTGCAGGTATTTGCTGACCATGAATCCAGCGTACGCCCGATTAACGTTCCTAGATCTTGGATATGGAGACTAGATAGGCGAATTGCATACTTTGGAACCTCAACAAGTACAATTCTCAAAGGTGAATAATCCATACATTAGATGAGTTGTATGTATTGTATGTAGAGTGATTCTCTCATGCAAGACAGTTTGGCATGCAATTTTGCTAGATTGTGATGTCTGAGCGTGCAATGCGATCTCTGCATTGTCCACAATTGAGATTGACAAATGCCAAACTCTCTGAAAAGAGAGTGTCACTCACACTATAAAGAGTCAAACAAATGTCTCAAATATTTCTTCTTATTGCAGGCGTAGAATTAGCGGAAGTTAGGGAATGCTTTTGGGCAGGTTTGTAATTCCCGGTCCTGCAGCTTCTTATTGATGGCTTGTTGTAATACTGAAAGAGCATCCAACCCTTTGTAATTCATAAACAAGGTCAAAACACAATTAGTTATATTAATTGTGCAAAACTCATTCTTAACAAATTTTTCGAACAAAAAAACAGAACAATCTTTTAATTAGAGCCTTAACAAATTTTATAAATAAAAACCCTTTGTTTGCCCCTTTATACTGCTATGTAAGTATCATTTTTATTGTTTTCCAACATCAATTTGGTATGAGGACGGATCCATACTATGTCATAGAGGAAGTGATGACTATTAAGATAAGTTCTACACAACAAGGTTGGGAAACAAGATCTGAAAATAAAATGAAAGAAATAATTAAGAAGACTCCTGGGTGCAAACTGTGAAATAAAAGCACTCATTTATCAAGGAAATTTGTAAAGAAAGAAAATAAAAACTGCAAGCTTATAGCCATCCATGATATCATATGAAATTTAACAATCTTACTGGTTAATGATTTTGTTTTTTTTTTTTGGCTTTCAGGTTTTATGGGCGTGAGAGCATTTGACCGCAAAACACGCACCCCTGAAGACCTCTCAGATCTGTTTCACATTTCAACAGCCAAGGCTGGAGGAAAGAAAAACAAAAAAGAGGACTAGTAATGAGTAGGAGGAGATGATGCTGCAGACACAAGCTGAAATAGCATGCTTAAAAATGTTGCAGTTCTGTAAATATGTACACCTTATAATTCTCTAGCATAACATGAGAGTCAAACCTGGATGCTAAAGTGCGACTCCAGTACAGTGGAATCTAATTTTTCTTACTTAAATCTTTATCAACAGTTCTATTTGAAGCCTCCAATGAGAAAGAAAGAGAGGTAATATTTATAGATTTCACATTCAGAAGAAACCCTTTTGTTTATAGATTTCACCATCACTTCTTTTGGTCAATTTGAGCTTGTAAATTTGTCAGCTTCAAAGGAAATCAACCAGGACAAACCTGTAGTCGGTTCTCAAATAAGGAAAGTTTTCAGCTGGTTTCAAGTATTGATAGAAGACATCATATATTAATAGAGTAGAGGGAGGGCAAGACATTAAACAAAATTAAGATTTGAAGCTTAGATGCATATTACCTGATGAAGACTGTCTTTTTTTTTTCCCCCTCTAATGAAGCATTTTGTCCCAATCAATTTGGGCCCTATTGTTATTTTGGCAATTGTTAGTCGTCTTGTTTAGGTAATACTTAAATTTTAGTTGATGGAACTCAATATCACCTTATAACCCTTGACTTTTACTGGACGATTTTGTTTAGCGGAAGAAAGGATATGGTTCCTTTGGTGCCTCTTGATTGGTTCTGTTAAGTTGAAGCTATAAAGATGTGGTCAATGTAGAAAGAGCATCCAAATGACTCAATTTGAGTGGCATAGTTTGTTTTTTTTTTTTTTTAGCGAACCTAACAGTACAAGGGAAACTTTATTAATCATCAAAATGAAAATGGGGGGACTTAAAGCCTTACCCCAATTTGAGTGGCACAGTTAAAAGCTAAAGTTTGAGGGAAAAAAAATAAAAACTCCCTGTCATCATGTTTCAATGATGGAATAAAAGTTTGTAATTTTTATGGCTGGTGGGGAATGTAGAGGGGATGTTTCAATGATGGAATAAAAGTTTGTAATTTTTATGGCTGTTGGAGAATGTAGAGGGTATGTGATGCTAAGTAATTATAACCTAATAAATATGGTAAACTTTCTCTCAGTTCAATGAAAAGTATGATAAATATTAAGTTTAAAGATGCTTTCTAAAAGCTTCTATGGTAGAGAAATATCAGAGCTTTTTAGTTAGAAAAATATGTTTCTCAATTTGAAGAATTTTGAAAGCACCATGTCTGCTGGACAACCAGGAAGCCACTACCCCTCCTCTGATAAAGGCAGATTATATGGCTCTTCTGTAATTATAAATTAGATAAAGCAAAGGGGAAAGGCACTGAAGAAGATGACCAATTTAGCAACAGAGCTAAAACATGCATTAAGATTCAGTTTGATGGGTTTGAAGCTTGCTTGCACTATACATGGTTGGCCACAGCTTTTTGATGGAATGCATGTAAATTAAAGGGATCCTGCATATTATATAGTAATGCAAACCATCACCTCTTGTAAAAAGTTAAGTGTATGAATGTAAAGTAAGGAAACAAAAGCAAACCAACCAGTCAGACTCCAATGAATTAAAGTGGTTTTGAGTTTCCATACACAAGATAAATTATCAAAGCTTCAGAGGTCTAATTATAGTTTGTAACCATTTCAAATCCTTAATTTGGTAGACCTATGGTAAGGGGCTTGAATTGTAATTTAAGTGGTTAAGAGCATTTATTCTTGTACTGAAGGTTCTAAGTTCGATTCCTTCCTCCCCCAATTACGCTTGCATCAAAAAAATAAAAAAATAAATTGGCACACCTGTGAGAATGCACCAAAATAAATTAGTGCAGAAGAGAAAAACAGAGAAGGTGGCTGACCAAAGAGTGGAGCCTTCATTGCGGATTTGGTATCTGCATAGTAATTAAGGTATATTCTGTGTTTTTGTGGTACCTTTGTACCCAAAAATATAGTAAATATGGAGAGAAGCAATACATTGAAAAATTAAAAGAAAAGAATGGCGGTGGTGGTGATTTCATTGGCTTCATCACAAATATATAAATAATCCATCCCAAAAGCATATGGCTCGTAAAGAGGACATGTGCTTATTATATTGTTATTTTGAAATTATTATAGTGAATTATAACACATACATTATACTTTCTTTTATTATTATAATAGATACGTTCCCTTGAAATTTTCACTTGGTGATATGCCTTGAAGGATTAATTTAACTTTCAAGAGGTTCCTTCTTTGTAGTAGTTGTATCCATGAATGTGGCCTTCTTAAATTTTAGAGAGACGGATTAACGGTCTATTACTAGCAACATTGATATTGTTCAACTCCTTATAAACTTATATTAGACTTTTCAACTTTTTAATGTAGAATAAATACTCTCAACACGCCTCCGTACATGTGGCGAACTTTCAAGCCTAATATGTGAACATCGCATTTTGGGTAAGGGATAGAAGTAAACATTTAAGCTCAATATGTGAACACCACATACTGGGTAAGGATAAATGCCCAATTTAGGCCCAGTAAATCAACCTGCTCTGATACCATGTTAAATTTAAAGAGACGGGTCAAAAGCCTCATTACTAGCAATACTGATATTGTCTCTAATTTAACCACCTACAAAGCCCAATTGGTGTGAGGTTTTATCATAAAACCTCGATGATATTAGTAGTGGAACCATTCATTATATCTTGTATTTTATTTAGTCAAATTTCTGATGTGAGACTTATATTCTTCAACAGCCCCTATTTAGTATTGATGCAATTTTCATATGACTACATGCAAAAGCTGTTCTTCCTACGAGAAAAAAATCATAAATGGTGAATTCATGATTGTTTAATGGAATATGCTACTGATGAATGGCAAACTCGCTAACAATGTTGATATTGGAGGCTTAATGGCTACATTACTAATCTTGATTTGTGATTGTTAGGATGCGATCTATTTAGCTCGATATACATTGTTAGTTTATTTTGTAATAGCTTAAGTTTTTAGAGTCTAATAATTGTCTAACATAATCCGAGCCTTCGATGTAGGAAGGGCACCTAGGTTCAAAACCCTCAAATCTCCATTCCACTTTTTTTTGTCGTTTGAATCCGATAAAATAAGAACGCACGCGAGAAGGAGTGTTAGCTTTAGATTGTTGGCTTCTTTGACCACTTAAGAATTTAGAGTCCAATAATTTCTCTGAGTCCAACAATTCAGGCTGTGAAGAGAGCTATCTTAAGTTACCTATCACTTCCCATTTCTCTTCAAGAAGAAGAACAGAGACATATATCAGTATTGGATTCCAAACAACTTATAATATTATTACTGTTGAAGTAAAAGAACAGGGAAGATGTACACTTTCCTTATAATATTCTGTAGTTTCTCATTAGTGGAAAACTTTACACCAGATATATTAAAATGAGCAGTTTCCTTCTGTGAGCAAAACATTAAGTGCCACCAAAGTAGCTACTAAAAAGGAGCACAGTTCAGAAGTAAAAGCTTTGTCTTCATAGTGCCTGCCTGCACGTGAGCTTTTGGACTACAAGTCAAAATTTGGTTGACTTCCCAACTGTTTTGAAAGATCCATGCTGCTGGTGGAAACCAGTAAATGGATATCTGTTATGTTATCTGTGTATAAATTTACTAAGTCCAACTTCCTACCCTGTTTTTAATTAATTGGAAAGCTTTAATCAATGGCCTACCCCAAAATCACATACCCTAGATTGTTTTGCTTGGCTTTTAACAGATTCCGTTTATCTAAGTTGGCTAGCGTTGATGTGCTCCCAACCCTACACTCGAGTTTAAATCCCTCTTCTCGTAGTTTAGATTAAGTTAAAGTAGAATATTGTTTGTATAAAAATAAAAAAATAAAAAAAAGTTTTACAAGTTGTAGCTGCTTCTGGTAGTAATTTTATTAAGAACATCAAATGATGATAAACTAAAACTAATTTAGGTTTAACTTGTAAACAAAGTCATCATAATTAAGAGAACATACATATATAAACATTCATATTATCTACTAATTAGATGTAACAGTTACATTATGAAGAGTATCAAGGCTTATGGTGCTGGGTGTAGATGTAGTCCAAGTGAGCTTCAGCCATTATCCTTCTGTTTAAACAGTCCTCATCTCCATCAGTGCAATCTTCCACCCCAATTAACTGCTATAATATCCCAAAAGCAACAAAAAACAAAGAGTATAAGATATATAACTTGATGACTAGTTGGGGTTAATTAACAAGAAAAGAAAAAAAAAGAAATTTAAAATATACATTCATTTGTTTACTGCCTTCCAACTCTACAAGTGAACCCCCATCAGTGATTGCATTGAGCTCTACCTGATCCTCTTGTCCTGCAAAGACACCAAGGTTTTAGTTCATAATTATAGCTATGAGAAAGAAGAAGCTAAGGCTAATTTGTTTTTCTTTTAACTTCTGGTTTGGGGAGGGAAAATTTTAACTCATGAGACCTCATCTACATCAAACAAGGCAACAGCTAGTTGATTGTCAATGCACAATCGTTTAGGATTTACCTTCTTTGTTGCCTAGGAGACGAGCTGATATTATTGTTGACGAAGAAATGATGAAGAAAATGCATAGGACAATAGCTCCTGAGCTAAAGCTTTGCTTCATGGTTTCAGCTTCAAAATGAGAGAGAGAGAGAGAGAGAGAGAGAGAGAGAGAGAGAGAGAGTTGGAACTTGAGATGCGAGAAGGAAGCAGATGAGGGACATAAATACATGCAAAAAGAAAACAAAAAGCCACTGATCAGCCCCTGTAAGTCACATGAATGAGAAACCCTTGTGTGTAACCGGAATAGTATTGTTTTGCTATTTTCGGCCAATCAAAGTATGTCACGCGTAATAACTTTTTCATTTAATATGTCATAATTGATCGAAAATAAAAAACAATGTTATTCCTATTTCACACCAATTTTTCTGCACATTGAAGGTCTCTCTAAGTGAGGCAGTGTCAATACCTCATATCACAAGGTAGGGCCAATCACCACCATCCTCTTATTATATACTATACACTCCATGCCTGTTGTGACAACACCACTACTTGATATGAGAGAAAGAGAGAGCTTTGGTCACTGTCTGCCATAGTGGTCCAAAAGAGTCCAAATTGTTATATGGTGGTTGACAGTGTCAACAAGTCAACCTTTCGGACAGGTTGACAGCTGCTGCCCATCATTTTCTCTGCTATAATGGTGATACGTGGCATCAATCTTGTTGTTGTCTTCTGCTTAGTCTATGAAATGACATCATGCTTCAAATTGCTCCACATCAGTGGCCTCATCACTCAGACCATATTCCTATCTACTTCGTTTTTGTGCTGTTCAATCCGAGCCCTCTATGTCACAGAGACTTAGCATGTATTTTGAAATGTGTACCAGCGCACGATTCTATGTCACACAGACAGAGCATATATTTTGAAATGTTTTTCAGGTATATGGTAAGACTATTAGTCATCAATTCGTTTAACCAACGTGGATTTACGTCATTGATAAAATTAATTTTTGCTTGAACGTATAGATTAAATTAACAGTCGAACATTATAATCTGTCTAGTAATATAAGTATGATGAGGAAATCTTACTCTATTAAACAAATATGGCTAAGATACATGCATGTGGATATTTTTAAGCATTTGGTCATTACAGGGGTAATGTCTTTTGGCAATAGTGGAGGGCACACCATGTTTAGGGTTTGCAGATGTGTCTGTCCCTTCTTTTAAAAAATGGTTATTATAAATTGAAGAGGAGATTATGCTTCTCTCTTTTTGGAAGATTTGAATCTATCATTTCTTGCTGAAGCATTAAACAATTAGCCAAGGGAAGGCCATTATTGGGTTTGGATTCTGTGAAGACATATTTATCATACTAACTAATTCTCTAGGATATTGAGATGGAGTTTTGAAAGATTATGTCCGCTAGTCCCAGACACGTGTGATTGGAAAATATTATCATGATCTAACTCATGAACTGATGGAAATGCTTTTGACCATGTTTATGTGACAATGGCATTGGAAACTGATCATTCTGTTCTTCATGATATCATACAACCCACACCAGGAAAGAAAAAAAAAACCCCCATTTCTGAAAATAAAACATAGTCGGAAAAGCCATTTTATAGTCGAAAAAGCGGTTTTTCCAAAGACAATAGACTGTTGGACTCCATTGTAAATGCTTTCATAATAGAGTTTTGTTGTTGAAAATAGTATTTCTTGTGAGAGCATTTGGGGCCCCTAAAAAAAAGTTTGTCGCAAATAACTATTTTGTTGAAGTGCCATCAATGGGTTGTCTGCCATAATATCTTGCGTATATGTACTAGCAATGTGTTCCTATAAACCCCTAAAAACAGAGTATGACAATCAATTGCAAAGCTTCACAGTTGAAGTTGTTAATTGAGTTGGTCATAGAAGAAAAAGAAAGTTGCAACTCATAGGCCCATAGGCATGATATGACCTGCCAAGTTATTTGCTTTAACCTTTTTACAAGATAGGATCAGCTTGCCATACAAGCATACAACCTAAAAAGCATCTAGTTGTTAGAAAATTGACCAAACAATATAATAAAATTGATATCTCCCTCTTAGCAGCCTCTCAATCTGCAAATTAAGAGACAAACATAAAGTAACAAAATAATTAAGGAATATTCGATACTAGAGTTCTGATATCATGTTAGAAAATCATAGAAAATAATACGACATGTATGTCTACCTAACATAACATTATGTGCTCGAAATTCATTTTTAAGTACTCGTCCCACTTAAATTTAACTTTCTTTTCAATTTTTTTGGCCTTGAAGATAATTGAACCGAAAGTATAAAAGCCTACATATGCTCAATTATATATATGAATCATTGCTTCTTCTTTTTTTCCAAGAACTTTCTCGAGGCCAGCAGCTTTCACTTTCTTATAAGTTAGACATCTTCAGTAAGATTCCATTGCTGTACCATGTTTCTTTGTGAAGGAAGGTCATGTTTTGTCGATTGCCAGTGCCTTTCAACTTTCAAAATTTTCAATTTTCAAGTCAGAAAAAAAGGAAAAAAGAAAAAAGAAAACCTTTCTCCTGTGAGAGTATCTATAATAAAAGGTGTAAGTAGTGGAAAGTACGTGTGGAAGTAGCCCCCAGGCCACCAGCTTAAGTTGGTCTTTGTTGTTCTGCTTTCTGCTGTTGACATTGACTAGCTCGAGCATAAGGCATATGCACTGAGTAGAGTTGTCTATGTTCATCAAAGTCAGGAACTCCAATGTCTGATATCTGTTTCTTCATTAATTTTTTATTTTAATTATATTCACAAACATGGAGGAAATGCATGGAATTGTGAAATCAAATGCATTCTTGGAGAGCTTTGGCAGGGAAAACTGTAAACTGTAAACTATAACTCTGCTTTGATTTATTTAACATTTTTCTTGCAAGACAGAATAACATGTTATGCAATGGCTTATCTTCAACTTTCTCTCATTGGGGAATTTTATTTTATTTTTCCTTGGCCTATTCCAACATATCTGCAGTTACTCTTGCACTCGAGGTCCTATGTTCAATTCCCCCCGCCCCCTCCTCCCCCAATATAGTTTGTATAAAAACAAAAGAAAAAAAAGGTGAGGGATTATCAGACCAGTATTCTGTTGTGGGAAAAGTTACATATGCATACTACTTCCATATTGATTAATTTGTCTCATTAATTTTAATTAATTTATAACCTTATAGCTTAGTAGTTAATCTCAAGGTATGTGAATGTGAATAAATAAATAAATAAAATTATGGCCGGTTTTTATGTTGGCAAGCCTTTTTTTTTTTTTTGGTTCTTCCGTTATGTTGCTAAGGTAATTTGTTTGGCTCTTGTAAAACAAGCGAGGTCTAGTCTAATGGAAAATGTCATTGATTTGCAAATTATTGGTCTCAGGTTCGAACCCTCATGACATCTTAGCAGTGTGTGTGAGAAAACCCTCTACCTTTCATAACTTTGGCCCCCCCAAAAAAAAACTATTGTTTTAGGCTTTTAAGGGTTTTAGCCCAATTCGAGTGCTGGGAAGTTGGAAACAGAAAGAGGCTTAAGCTTCGTTTCTACGTCATCTAATTTGGGCTGGGCTGAGCATAAGACAGCCTATCGGCAGTGCCAATTGGGCTTACAAGTTACAGCCCATTGCCAAGGTAGCCAAAACCTTTTCTTTTTCTCTTTTTTAGTATGAACATATTTTATATTTTTTGCCGGAACTTTTTTTTTTTTTGAACTTTTTAGTAATATTAATTAGCTTTTTCTCTTTTCTTTTCTCTTTTGTTTTGTTTATTTTTATTTTTATTTTTTGTGTGGCCAAAGTTACGAAGGAAATGAGGTATTTTCTCACACAAACACAATCAAGATGTCATGGAAATTTGAACCTAAGATCACTGATCTACAAATCGAAGCCATTTTCAATTGGGTTAGATTCCGTTGGCATACTAATTCACTATTGATATAATGATCTTTCTCTTTGCAGTGTTAAAAGCCGTTTCAAGGTCGATTCCCTTCCTTAGTGATAATATTCTATATATAGAAGCAAGTATCTAGCATATAAAAATAAGATTCTTTGAGCTTGATTCCAAAAATGGGCATCAAGGCACATTTTTTTTTTGGACAAAATTGTCTTTTAGCAAATTGTTTCTGACACCGACATGAATTTGAGTAGCTGAAATGATGGATCGTGAATTTGGAATATCCTTCCAAAATAGCAGGCATGTCCCCGGATTGGTACAGTCTCTCTCATATCATTGATACAATATACCGTTTACAAATTACACCTCCATTTACAATTTACTTAAGCACATGTTTACACACATAATGACTAATCTAAAAAAAATTAAAACTAATTAGATTTCCCTTAATTTTAAAAAAAAAATCATATAATTTTGAAAGATTCTTATAATAAACAAATCCATCATGGTTAAACATTTCCTAATTAATAAATAATACCATAGGTTTAAAATATTTTTTACTTTTATATTTAAAAAAATGTTTAATAATCATACACATTTTGAATTTTCTGAATTACACGTGTCAGTATACTAGTAGAAAACAATGCAAACACCTAGAAGAAAAGAAACACAAGGATTTCTTGGTTTATTATTTGTGCAATAAACCCAATCACGACTCAATCTAGCTTTTAGGTTGGTGGCGTATGTGAATAGTGTCCATATGTGCAGCCACCACCATCACCGTGTGTGATGCTTCAACACCAACTCAATTTTTAGACCTACCAAAAATGCATGACTTTGCATAAAATGCGTAATTGCAATGTGCTTGTGGTTGGTAAAGGGCACACAATTTTCAATTTAGACCAAGCATTACCAATCAACTAAGAAAAATAACTCAAATTTGGCCTTTTAAACACATTTAGGTTTAGCATTCTCTTAGTCTTAAGAATATAGCATTGCGTAGTGTTCAAACCCTCCTCGAGCAGTACTCGAACTCCTCTAATCATGTTCTACTTAATGATTTTCAGTTGATCGAAAAAATTATAGGACGAGAACTGTGTAGATTATATACAATTATTTGATAGTAGTGAGACATTTCACTAAACATACCAATTCAGAACATACAACTCTGCATACAACCGGTTGTAGGGAAGAAATTTTGTTTGAAACAGGGAATTTAAGTTTGAAAACAATTGTTGATTCTAATATGGCCCCAACAACAACATGGCACTAAATGAAGGAAGGAAATGTCGACGA